ATATTGAAGTGTAAATCTCACTTCATACTTAACTTATACTATTTGTTAAGAGAGATCATATGTTGAAAACTTTGATTCAAAGATATAAACTATTTCATTATTCATTATTTATCAAAGTTTACAACACAAACACTTGAGCTTTATCACTTGCTATCTATTGAAGTGTTATCCTAACTCTCTAAATATTTGACTTGATTATGTCATTTGTTAAGAAAGTTCTTTCAATTGTAAAATTATCATTTATTCTTTGATAGTTTCGAGAGCCTTGTGAAAACTCGATTGTTGTTAAGGAAAAGTTTTCCTTATTGAAAGTCACTTAAAGATAGGTTCTCCTTGTTGTAAGTCACCTAAAGANTGAAAACTCGATTGTGTTAAGGATAAGTGCTCCTTATTGAAAGTCACTTAAGGATAGGTGCTCCTTGTTGTAAGTCACCTAAGGATAAGTGCTCCTTGTTGTAAGTTACTTAAAGATCAGTACTCCTTGTTTGTAAGTTACCATTATAGTGCATTTGACTTTGATCAGTACTCCTTGTTTGTAAGTTACCATTATAGTGCATTTGGCTTTCTCGTGATGGAGAGCTTGGTAACTGGTTGAAGAATTGTGTAGAATATGCAGATTCTCTCTCTTTCCAAATCTGTTAGACGGCTTGTTTAGCACTCATTCTGTTGTGTATATATGCTGTAATTGTATACAATTTTTTTCAACGGGAAGTTCATTCATTTTCTTCCATTCTCTTCATTGACTATTTTCTTCCTTAAGCTTCATTTTGTGATACTATTGGTGTGAAGAAACATCTGGCACATCCTATGGTAAGTACATAAAAATCAATTGATTCGTTTCGTTTCGTAAATGTAGATATTCTGTAGTGGCTAGGTTGAAAACGTTTTTTTCGGTTTTTATGGTTTATAATTTGACATCTTTGTAGTGTTGTAGATATCAACATGAAGCATACTAGCCTCCGACAAGTTTTAGCCCCTAGGTACTATTTTTGCCTCGTGATGGGGCTCTACACTCATTTTGCCAATATCATACACCTACATTGCTATGATGGGGTCAAAAGGATTAATAGAAGCATCAAAGATAGCTATGTTGAATGCAAACTATATTGCAAAACGTTTGGAGGTCTCTTTTTCCTCACTATCATTTCACTAAGTTTAGTGTTTGGCATTCTGTTTAATCATAAGAAAGACCAAAATAGAGGGGTCCTATGCGCAGTCATGACCTTTAATAATTGTGTCAAGAAGAATGTATGTGTGCGTGTGTTTTTTTCCCTTTTCTCAATTATGTTTCCTTAACATTATTAAATGTGCCATTTTTCCTTCATACATAATATGACCTTGATACCTCATTTTCTATTATTGAAAATTGAGCATGAACACTCATTCTTTAGAGAATATTTGCTACCGTATTCGCAATTATTCTTTTCATTGTTAATATTTTACACTTGCAATTGACAGAAGTACTACTCTGTCTTTTTCTGTGGTGTCAATGGTACGATTGCTCATGCAGGAATGTAGCCAGGATTTCAATCTTGTGGGGGCAAAAATACGGGGGGTGGGCCCCGAAATTTTTTTAAACTAAGCGGATTGAAAACGATGATTTTGAGTACCAAAATAGACAACTTAGATTGACTGACCAAAAAGACAATCAGTTTGTTGATACAAAAACAATATATCCATCTATGTGTCTAATGCTATAC